CAGGAGCGCGTTTGAGGCCGAGCCGAGCACAGTGGCATTAATGTAGAGTGGGACTCAGGTAGCAGCCTGCTGTCAATCATTCATCCATCCACCTGACTAATTGGCTTCTTACCCTCTCTCCACCCGGCTCCTGTGCTAACCACTCGCCTCTGGCAAAAATGCAGATGAGCGCTGGAGAAGGCGTCTGGCAGAGGGAGGGAGAGGAGAGGAGGAAAACTGCAGCTTTAGTTAATTATCTCTCTGAGTCAGTCTGTCCGACAGCAGCCCACACAGCGCACTTATGCTAAACAGCAAAGCATCCTGGGAATTGGAGTGACAGCTCATTTTCCTCCTGCAATTTTATATGAAAGGTGCACCAGAGACCTGCACCCCTCCTTCTATCCATCCATCCATCTATCTCTCCCTCTTCTCCTCCTTCATCCGTTCTTGTCTTTCTCCCCTCGCACTCTTTCTGGGTGGCTAGGACTCATGGGATGTTGGTGTGGAAGCTGTCAGTGACACTGTGTATGCCTTCTCTCTCCCGCTCGCTCTTTCTCTCTCTCCGCGCTGACAGCGGCTTGTTGACAAACGCCAGCAGTCATCTCGGCACCCTGGGAAATCTCTGCTACCATTTTGTCAGCAGAATGACAGAAGCTGTTAATGTCTCAAATTCTCCCTGTGACAGAGAGCCATCTTGTTGACAGTGTCTGACATTCGGCGCTCAATTCATGTCGTCCATTTTAATTTATTATATTTTTTTTCACACCAGATCCAACTCCCCCTTTTCACTTTCTCTCTCTCTCGCTCTCTCTCTCTCTCACACACACACACACGGATCCCATGGCAAAAATTAACAGTTACTCGATTTGTCTGAATGTAGCTGTGGAGCTGCTAATGATTTTTGTCCGGTAATGAGAATTGTGTCAGCGCCCTGTTAAAAATGAAATAAATCCTTCGCTCTGTATGAATCCACCGGCATATCTCCTGCCAGCCGCGATCGATGCTATTCACAAATTAGAGTCGGGGAAAAAAATCGTTTATTCCCTCTCTGGGGGGTTTAAGGCAAACATGCCAAAGACAGGAAGTTCCAAAGTAAGAGCAAAACGAAACAATGCGCAAAACACCGTGGTATGTCAAACATAGAAACCGACTACTTCTGGATAAAATGCACATTGACTGCAAATAAATCTGCATGAGACGCAGTACATGTCACAGATTTTGTAAATTGGTATAAACAATATTAATATGATAATAGTACTGTAAATGCTGTCAGAAACAGCAAAAATAGATTTTTAACGACTATAGGAAGTTCATCAGTATCCAGGTTGAGCCTAGTGAAGCTTATAGGTGAAATCTGAACAGTAAACTGAATCTGTGGAAATTTTCGGTGCAGATTTGAACAGAAAATCTAAATCCAAACATTGCTTCTAAACAAACCCGCCCCCACAAATTTTTTTTTACTGCCTAGTTATAATAATTATGTTGACAATAAGGAGCTGATCTTGTACTAATAGTCTGGGAAGATACAAATAAACCAAGTGAGCGAGTTGAGTGTGAAAGAAAGTGCTGATCTTGGATTCATATCCTCATTTAAGTGTAATAAAAAACTGATTAGGATAACAAACTGATCTGAGTACACACTAACTGATCTTGTTAAACAAAAGACCCGTCCATTTAAGACTCAAATCCCTGCTAAGAAAGTCAAAACAAGTTGGTGGGTGTTAAAACTAAACATCTTTTTGCAAACAATACACATAAATAGCATATATATACCATATAGGCTATATATATATATATATATATATATATATATATACACACACACACACATAATTTTCAAATGTTTCAGTAACCACAAAAGTTATATTAAAATCAAGTGTGTGCTAAAAACAAACAAAAAAATGTACTAAAAAAAATAAAATCTTGCAGAAAGTGTTAGGTTATAATAACAGGTTATTATAGTAGGTTATAATAACATTATAGGAGGTTATCAGCAGGTTATTATAACAACAATAAATGCAGTGAAGTATTTCTGTTAGAATTAGCAACAACTTTCACAATGTCATAAAAACTTGTCTTGAACAAAAATAATTGTACTAGAAGCGCCAAAAGGCTCATTGGGTTGCGTGAGACAAACCTCAAGGAATGACTGGGAAAAAACACTTAAAATGACTTGAAAGAGTCAAAGGTCACTGAATAATTCACACACTGTAGCCAGGCTGTGAATATATATATATACTGGTCTGTAAAATTACTCTTTTATACTTTCATGTATCTTGGTGTTACCATTTTCTATAAAATCCTCGGCTAGCATGGACATTTTTAAAAAGGACTTGAAGACCTACTTATTTTATCAAGCTTTCAGCGTTTAATTAGGTCGGAGAATTGTGAGGGATTGGCTGCATGTTTTTCTTGATGTTATGTATTGTTGTTATTTTATGTTTGCATGTATTTTAGTATTATTTTTACTCATGGACAGCACCTTGGTCCATTTTAATGGTTTTGAAAGTGCTTTATAACTAAAAATTGAGTTGAGTTGGTGTTTGTTTACATCGTAGTCGACTCCAAGTTACTTGACAGAAAACTACGGTACTTTTTGTTGAAACCCTCCCAAAACAAATGCAAACAAAATATTGAGAAAGTGAGCCATGCAACTACAAAATCAACATCTGCGCTTAACAATTTTCTTTATATTCTCTGTCAGTTAACTAACGGGAAATTCCCCCAAAACGAAGTTTGGAATACAGATTTATCCTATATAAACAATTACCTTCGGTTCCCAAGAGCCTGAGCGGGAGGCTTTTAAAATGTTATAATATTTTCTTCACAGCCTGTGTTTGTTGTTTTGGCCTCGCAGCGGCAGCCGGTAACCGGGCGCGGGGACCGCACGCGCTCCTCTGCAGGTGCGAGCGCGAGCAGAAGGACGAGATTAAAGTGTCTCCCTCCACCTGTCTCTCTCTCTCTCTCTCTCTCTCTCTCTTTCACCTCCATCTCTCCGTTTGACGGGGTGAGGAGCGTGAGGCAGATTTGTACCGACAGCACCGCGCGCATTCTCCAGTCAAACGGCATAAAAGGCGCGCGGCTGATCAAAGCGCGCGCTGCGGCGCCCGTCTCGCGGGTTCACGACGTTTGAAGGTTAAAACAACAAAAACGACACGCAACCGCTATTTACATTTTATTTATTTTTTCTCTCCACCTCACTCTCTGAAGCGCTCCAAAAAAACTTTTCTGCACAAATAACAACATTAATACGCAAATATAGAAGTAGGCTAGAGGCGTGACGCTTGTTTGGAAGAATATTGGAATGAATTCGTTTAAAAATAATTTAATGATGCCGACATTTTACGGAATGTGAAATGATGGCAAACGAGCAATTTGAGGGAAAACAACTTGCGTCGTGAAGGCGGGCGGGATGAAACGGTTCACATGGGATCGTGACGCCGTTGCGCTTCAGTCCAACGGCGATATTTGTAGTTCATCTTCTGAGGAGTTGAAACGCTGCTACTTACACACCAAGGGATTCTCGGCGGAGCAGGATCATCCTGTGGGTGCTTAATATGAATACAATTACACATTCGGTAAACAGCGCTCCGCTTATGAATGTGCGCAAAACTTACGCTGCACGTGACGTAACGCTGCGCTAATATGAGGCAACCGTCGCTGGAGCGCCTTTTATTATGCTTATGACTGAGGGCTACGTTATTACCTCGTTTCATTACAGTAACATTACTAATCAAAAATACTATGTATTATTTTATATTCATGTAGAAAAAGTGCCTCAAAAATAGAACTAAAAATACAAAATACAGAGCTGTGTAGCATCATATAAAGTTCGTATATGTAAATAGCTATATTACAAGGGTATAATAAAAACAAAAATTGTACTAAAAAAGACTTTAGGGGAAAGGTGTGTCCCAAAAAATGTAAAGAAAAAAAAAGATAACATTTTGAATAAACTGACTTATTATTAAACTTTTTTTTAATAAAATCACTTATTCAAAATGGAAAAAGCTCCGATTTTGTGGAATTATACCATAAATTATTACCAAGAAACTAAGGAAAAACAATGTATGACAAAAGGCATTTCATAGAATTTATGAAAAACGAGCATAACTGGCGATTTCAAATCATGTTTATTTGTACAAACTGCTAGAAAACGGAGAAGGCGATCACAGAGTTCTCCAGAGGTTCTCCTGCTTGAATCTGAGGCACATGTATGTGTAAGTGCATTACCTTTGTATTTATGGTTAATACAGAATCAGTCAATCTTACAATCCAATCCTTAAGAACTAAACAACAGCTAATATTGCTGTACGATGACACAAAATCAATGAGAGGAGATCCAGCTGTTAAACTTCATAGATAAAATGAAGCATTATCTGGAGATTAGAATGCTTAGAATTAGGACAAAAAAATCTAGAACTATAGATTTCTAAATCAAATGTGAATTGTACCCTTCTCCAATATGTGTAAGAATCTATCTGGCCTGTTTTAAGTGCTATATTTAGCAGACAAAATATATTTAACTTGTAGAGCATCTTCTGATCTTTTCCTTAAAGGAACACTCCGCTATTTTTGAAAATAGGCTCATTTTCCAGCTCCCCTAGAGTTAAACAGTTGAGTTCTACCGTTTTCGAATCCATTCGGCCGATCAAGCCTATTTTCAGGCACTGCGTAATATCATTGGCAGCAAAGTTCCTTGATTATTACGCCAGAATGAGAGTATAGTTCCTAGCCATATCGGCCTAGAAAATCGCAACTTTTCATTTTCCGTCGGTCTTAGTACACGATGTAACTACAGAAGAGTCAAGTTTTAAATAGGAAAAATATCGAAACTCTTTGGTCATTTTTGAGCGAGATGCTAACGGTCTAATCAGATTCAATGATCTATGCTAAGCTACAGCTAAAAGTGCTACCGCCAGACCCGGAGATCGGCTGAATGGATTCGAAAACGATAAAACTCAACTGTTTAACTCTAGGGGAGTTGGAAAATGATAAAAAATAGTGGAGTGTTCCTTTAACACCTTCTCAAGTAAAGCTACGTTAACATTTACATCCATGTCTCAAGCATCATTTCAAAATCAAGAACCTCCAGATAATGAATAGATCATGAACATTTCAAGGCATTACGGCACGTTAGTATTTACAGAATCCATTTGTGTGCGTGTGCAATGTGTTACAGTCTGTGGAAGTACGAAGGTTACTGAGGATAAGCTTCGATCACCATAGCATGACCCTGCAACACACATACAAGAGAGTGTTATGAGGATATTTCCACGTGTGCAAATGCTTTGTTGGTTTTGTACAGTCACACACCTGTCCTCCAGCAGCACACGCTGCCACCAAGCCGTACTGACCACCCTCCTTCTGCAGTCTGTGGGCGACGGTGGTCACCAGTCTACAGCCGGTGGCCGCAAACGGATGTCCAAGAGACAGAGAACCTCCCCATGAGTTAAACTTCTCCATCGGAGGAGCACCAACCTGAGAAAACAGAGAAACAGTGTACACGAGCTTTCATTATCATCGATATCTTCAACATTGCTATTGCTCATCAATAGACAGAAGCAAGATTTTCAACCAATTATTTCACAGCCTTACATTGTGAAAAAAAAAAATTCTGCTCATTTCCAAAAATGGCCTAATATTTTTTTTTTCAAATGATATATTGATCACTCATCAAAATAACAAGAGCAGTCAAATGCTTTTCAAAATGATTGCATTAAATTCAAAATTCAAATAAACACAATTTAAAAGTATTCAAAATGTTTCATGTAACTTACAATCTGCAAAGTGGAAAATATGTTCAAATACTCCATTTAATGTCAAGTAACTTCACATAAACACATTTATAAATAAATAAGCTTTTTTTCCCCCCACAAAATCTGCAATTTTCTGTTGCTGTTTGGATGTAGTAAAACACCCACAGATGTAGCAGACAACATCTGGGCCATGTTTGCATTTTCTTCAGTCGCTGCCCATAATTATATATATCCTTAAAAATCAGGATAAGCATAAAATAATGTCTTCAGAATCATTCATACAGATTCAGAGGAAGACAGGAATCATGTGTTTGTGGCAGTTTTTCTGGTTAATACAAGACTTCTTCACCTTACAAATGGTTGTCGAAGGCAAAAATGCTATGAAATGCATCATATTTTATGTGAAAGTGTGACATGCTCCAGCAAAACAGACCCTATTTTTGGAAATTAGAACTTGGAAATTAGAACAATACTTGTTTCTAATTAGAATTAGAAACAAGTATTGGATTTCATTCAGCAAATATATAGGCGTTTTTTTTGTTGTTGTCACCTTTAGCAATAATAAATCAATGCTTTATAAATGGTGAGTTTTGTATGGCAAATGCAACTCATATTTTCTTCATTAAAACCTAGTTTTTGTAATTATGCTTTGTTTAGTTGATGATTTCTTACCCAATGGGACATCTAGTATATTTATTATCGCTCAAATCCCCTTGGAGTATCCTGAGGTTTAGCATCTTGCTCAAGGGCACTATGGAGAATCATGAATCAAGCCCTCCTGGGTTTTTGAACACACAACCTCTGGGTCTTCAAGTACTATTTCACACCCCCTAGAGTAAACACGCACATACCTTAGTTTTTCTGCCCATATATGTTTGGGCGAACCAGTCAGATTCCATTGCCTTCAGGTTTGCCATGATCTGACCCTGTAAAAAAATAAATAAAGCAGACAACTAAAGTCTTTGCACACACAATCACTCCTAAATGTAGTAAGTGTTCTGCATAAGATTTTTAACGCAGTATCAGTGGAAAACTGGAAGGTGATGCTTACAGCAAAAGCCTCATGGAACTCAAACACATCGATGTCGTTCAAGGTCAGACCGCTCTTCTCCAGGACCTTTGGTGTGGCGTAGGTCGGCCTGAGAGAGAAAACAACCAACACATGAGTGTGTGTGACATGACAGAGACAGACATTTTCAACATTGATAATAATAAGAAATGTTTCTTAAGCAGCAAATATTAGAATGATTTCTGAAGGATCATGTGACTGAAGACTGGAGTAATGATGCTGAAAATTCAGCTTTACATCACAGGAATAAATTACATTTTATAATATATTAAAATAAAAAAAGATATTTTAAATTGCAATATTTTTTTATTTTTATAGTGAAATTTTACCAACCCTAAACTTTTGAACAGCAGTATGTACAAATCTGATTAATGTATGCAAGCAATTCACTGAATAAATTACTTCATCTTTTAACATGATGTGCAAGAACCAAAGTAAAATTAAAAGTATAACAGTGTCAATATTGGTACAATATACTCACTTAACTGATTATTAGTCTGTCTCTATTAAGAATCTCTATCTTTATATCAAAGGAGATAAAGAAGCTGTAGCATATAAAAAGAGAACAGAAAATAAATCTAAACCAAAGAGTCATTTTTTTGCAGCCTATATGAATGTCAGTCAGAAACTCACTCACACGCCACAACACAACAAAACCACAGCAATAACAAAACCCACAGCACAAAACCTCACAGGCCTGAAAGAGAAAGAGAGAATAAAGGAGGCAGGAACTCACCCGAGAAGCAGCTGGTCTTTTGGGTCTTGAGACACGTACACAAAATCTCTGAAGGTAAAAACACACAGACATAATATCAACAGCAGCATGAGCCGCTGTGTGCTGAAGAAATGATGTCTGTCTGCTGTAATGGGACACTATAAACACATGACACCTACAGCTGCAGGAAACTGAGCTTGATTAACAGGAAAATGGAAAGACTTCACTATAATTTCAAATTATTCAACAATTACATTTACTTAAAAGTAAATTGCATCTCTTTTCAATGTTAAAATACTTTATCCTATAACAATTTCAACAATTTGATTTCCCTTAAAAGAATAAACACTGACGTTACAGAAAATTATACACTTTCACACACGTTTCTGAACACATATTTGGTTTTCAGATAGTATTTCTGAGCCATTTATGCAGTTTAAACTCAATAAATACATTTGATTCATGGGTAAGTTTTGACAGATCAGCTAAATTGTTTAGGAAAACACAGATGATGTTGTCAGTGAGATGCTGCGTCTGGTAGTTTTTTAATGTAAGGCATTATTTTTGTTTTGTACCTGAGATACGCTTTAGGCTTGTAACCCATAGCAAGAGCTTTCTCCTCTGACATGATCAAAACTGCAGACGCTCCATCAGTCTGAGTGAACAAACACACACACAAAGAGAAAGAGCTCATGACAAATCTGACAGATATCCCTTAAATTAAAGGGCTGGTAAAAGCAAGTTGGATTAAACCAGAAACTCAGATGAACTGACCAGGAAGGAGGAGTTTGCGGCCGTCACTGTGCCGTGAGGCTTGATGAAGGCGGGTTTCAGTTTGGCCATCTGTTCCATGGTGGAAGGACGGATCCCATTGTCTTTAGACACAATATCCTTCCCTGTGACAAACACATCCTCACAACATTTAAACAACAATCTGAACTGCTCAAAAATCTTCTGATAAGAATGGTCCCAATAATTTAATTTTTTATGAAAACAGAATTATGCAATCTAAACTTAGAATTGCGAGAAGGAAATTCTGCTTTTTTTCAGAAAAAAAAAAAAAATCTGAATTGTGAGATGACAAGTCGCAATTATATACACACACACACACACACACACACACATATATTTTTTATTTTATTTTATTTTTTTCCGTGGCAGAAAAAAAAAACAAAAAGTTAACTCATGTATTTATTTTATTTTTTTTTTTTCCGTGGCAGAAAAAAAAAACAAAAAGTTAACTCATGTAAAAAAAAAACAAAAAGGAAAAAAAAGAGTATTCTGCCTTTTTCCCACAAATATGTATTTTTTTCAGTCAGAATTGTGAAATATAAACTCTAAACTATTAATGTTAGATATAAAATCACAATTCTGAAAAAAATAAAGTCTGAATTTCGAGAAAAAAATTTTTTGAGATGAAATTCCAAATTGTAAGATATAAAAATAAAGATAAAGAAAAATGGTCCGAATTGTCTTTCTGGCAGAGGCTGAAATGTTGTGGCAAGTGCTGCTGTAGTTGTGTTAATTGTTCACCTGGCACTTTAAAGCTGATGACATCACTGAGCAGCCCACTGTCTTGAGCTTTCTTTGCGAGCATGTGAGATCGCAGAGCAAATTCATCCTGCTCTAAACGCGACACACCGAATGCAGCCGCCAGACGGTCCGCGGAGTGACCCATTGTTTCGGCTGTGGAGAACTCAGCCACAGCTGGCAGCTACACACACGTGCAGAGAGACATTTAAGAGCTTTAAAGAAGTGAACCCAACAATACCATACAGACTGTATTTCGACAGACTAAAACACTGAAATATAGATGTTCTAGTGATATATGACATTTTATAAATCAGATGTAATAAAGGGCTATAATATCTGATCAGACATTCGTCTTGATAGCAGTAAGAATGGGTTGAGAATTACAAAAAATCAGTAATGTTGTGTCATATACTGTATGTCAGATTTTCCAGCAAAAATGTTTATAAATTTATAGCTGTTTAAAATGTATGGTTGCTTCTGGTATAATTTCCAGCTATTTTTGTATTTGTATTTTATATATATATAAAAAAGATGCTGATATATATAAAGTGTTTATGCTTTTTATAGCTATAACTATTAGATGTTATAGATGTCTCCTGTATAATTTCCAGCTGTTTGCTAATTATCTTTGTAAATAATAGTAATAATAATAATAAATAACAACAATATTGTTATTATCTAAAAACATTTAAAATATATTTGTAATAATAAAATATTAATAATATAATATAAATTTGAAAGTAGATTTTTTATTATTATTATTATTATTTTTACAATGTAGAAACAAAATGCATAATTGATATGATGTTGCATACCTCGGCAGGGTGTTCTCTCTTTCTCCAAAATATTCTGTTTCTAAATATGATGTGGGTCCCTTTGCACAAAGATGGCTTTAATAATGTAATTTGGAGTGACAAATACACTATGGGGAATTTGTATTCTGTGATTTGGGTACCTAGACATTCAAACTGAGGTGTGCTGGGGGTAATATGTGAGGTGTATTATGGGTAATGTAGTACCTCAGGTGCGAGGTGAGCGAGGCGGATGGAGCCCAGCAGAGAGAGTCGAGCCCCGAGGGTTTTTGCTTTGTTGAGTGACAGCATCGTCTTCCTCATCTTGCGGCTGTGACGAATGGGAACGTCAGACATAAACTCGACTCCACCGGCGATGACGGCATCACATTGACCAGCTGCGATCAAACCGACAGCTAGAAAACAAATTAACAATCAATAGTTCAGTCCATTTAACAATCTTCTGTAACCTGCCTTCAGGTTCAGTTTTAATTCAATTACAATCTACCATCACCAAAAGGTGTGTCAGTACCTGTGGTCATCGCTTGGTTGGAGGAAATACACGCCATAGTCACTGTGTGAGCAGGAGTCTTATCTGAGAATCCAGCACCAAGAGCCGCCTACAAGAAAACATTAAAAATAATTATTTCTAAATGAACATCCAAACTAATTTTATGATCAGAAACCAAGCAGCAAATGTAACGTTTCTAAGAAATGGTCTTTCGCTGATGATGGGACCAGAGTTATTATAGTTAACTAAACTAAAACAATTTTAAAAAATTCAGTTACTTGAAATAAAAGTTAACTGAAATCAAATAATATATATATATATATATATATAAAACTTTTTTCTTATTTTTATTTATTATTTTCATTTAATTTAATTGTATGCACTAAAATAACAATCTCAAATAAAAATAAAACCTACAATAATTAAAAAAATACTAATAAAAATAACAAAAACACAAAAAATTACTAAAACGTAACTAAAATTAAAATGCAAACTGGAAAATATAAAAATAAAAACCAATTACAAATATTTCTAAAAGCTGTAATAGCTTGTAGTATAATAGTTTGTCACAAACATAAAATTACACAGGAAAAATAAAATATATATTTATAAAAAATAAAATAAATATATATCCTATACGAAATAATGCACATAATTTATGTAATTAAATATGGTCATGGGTTTGATGCATACACACACACACACACACACACACACACACACACACACACACACACACACACGCTCTCTCGTCAGAAGCCACCTCAGGATTAATGGTATCTGGAATTTTGGCCGCAAAAAAGCAAAAGAATAAACAATATTTTTTCGCTTTTGGTGATCCACAAGTGAATGAGCAACAACTGAATTATTTTGGACATGGTCAGCTTGCTATTTATTGTTCCACCTTGAAATACAAATTGGCACGTAATGCTGCAAACGCCAAGTTGAAATCCAGTCTAATCAATATGGACGATTTACATGTGTCAATATACTTCTCTCTTTTGATCCTGTTGGCGGGAGATATACAGCTTAATCCTGGCCCACACACCTTGGCTCCTTTGTACAATCAGAGCGGTAACGTTAATTGTTCATTTGAGCAGTTTGGCCGCGAAATGGGGGTTGATTCACTTGTGGATGGATCGGCAGGAGCTTCGGGCTGCTGGGATGAGGAGCTCGGATTGCGGTTTGCTGATCGGATTCTGCTGCGTGATTACGTGGCCCAGGTGGATTGTGAGAGACTGGGCCCTGAAGTTGGTACGTTAGTGGATGGATTTCGATGCCGGCAGGTTGGACCGGATCCTACGGGACTGATGGGTGGAAGTAATGGTGTTCCTTTTGGATCTGGCATGTTGTCTGCTGGCGATACGGTGGAACGTTCTCGGGATGATTTGGACTGCTGCATAGATTCGGTCGCATTGCAGTGTGCAGTGCGGGACGAGTCGGCTGGAAATCCGGATTGCAGTTGTGTGCTGCGTGGAGCGGGACTTGGAGTGAAAATAACTAACACTGTGGCAGCTACTCCTTGGACAAGTGTTGCAAATTAGCTTCGGCTACAAGCATTATGGTACATGCATGGGATGATTGTTTTTTACATTTTCATCTATGTTTATTGTATCTGTCCCTAGCAAATAAAACATTAAATAAATAAAAATTAGGACAGAAAAAAAAAATTGCAGGAATAGTAAAGCCGCTTTTTAAATATTTACATATTTAATCCTTTTATTTACATTTTTTAAATTTATGCTCTGAATGAGTTTGCTTTTTGTTTGAATGCATAGTATGTGCTGTACCCAATTCACAAACAAACACGGTCACTGCAGTGATGCTCTGTGGACAGGGCTTCTCAACTCTGGCCCTCGAGGTCCACTTTCCTGCAGAGTTTAGCTCCAACCTTGATCAAACTCACCTGCCAGTAACTAAAAATAGCTTCAACATCCAAATTCTATTTTAGAAATGATCACAGACTAGACAGAGGACAGACTGACCTCTCTGGCCACATTACTGGTCTTCACTTCCTGAATAACAGTTCCATAGACAATATAATCAACAGCATCTTTAGGGAGACCGGTTCTGTTCAGCAGACCTCTGAAGAGAAGAAAAAAAAAAAAAACAGACAGACAGTTAGTCCTGAAACTTATAGTGATGAGTGAATCTTTATATGTATTTGTGTGAGTGTGGTGACATACTGTAATGCAGCTCTCGCCAGATCGTGGGGCATCAAATTAGCGTATCTAATAACAAAGACAGAGAGAGCAAAGACACAAAGAATGATTTCAGCAAAGTAAATCTGATGAAGAAACAAACTCGTCTACATCTTGTATGGCCTGAGAGTACATTTTCAGGATATTTTCATTTTTGGGTGAACTATTCATTTAATTCTATTCCTTTCTGCACCTTACAAACTATTGTTTTATTTAAATGATTTAAACGTTTTTATTTCAATTCACAAAGTATGATGTGAATTTCACATACAGTAAGTAATGTGTGCAACTTGTCAGGCCACATCTCTGACTTCATGCTCATCTGAATCAAAACACATTCTCACTTACATGGTGCCAGACTGGAGGAAAGGAGTTCGGACGCCATCAACTAGAACGATGTTCTTCACTCCTGGTGTGGCTAGAGTCTTTTTGCTCTTTGCTGTGTGATTAGAAAACACGACAGAAAGAAGGTGATCAACAAAAATATTTACAGTTGTATTGTGAAAATGGAATGTGAATTTTTTTTACTCTAAATAAACATTAAATTTTGTATTTCTTTTATTTAGTGTGAGGACTTTTGCAGAATATAGCAAAATAGATCGTAACTGGACTGATTATTGGTAAGCATTACACCTGAAATGTTACCTTGAGCTTGCAGATGAACAGATGTGCTGAGAGAACGAGCAGCTGGAGAGAAAGAGAACGCAGTTACTCATACAGCTCTAATTATCGATAATTATTTTAAATGTTTAGTGCACATTGCATAACGTGAAGTGTTATTTAGCTCTGCTGAGACCCAAGACGCCTTACCGAACTGAGCAGCCTGCACAGATGTCAAAGGGCTGCTCCTCAGTGAAGTCAACAACATAGACGCCATCTTTGATTATCTGGAAGAGTTAATCCAAAAGTGTGAATGATTATTCAAAACTACCAATCATTTCAGTCTAACAAAGCAGGTGCACTCATAATCCCATAATGACAATAGTCTCTTTATTAGACAATTATGCTTGCTCTCTCTCTCTCTCTCTATATATATATATACACACACACACACATATGTACAAAACAAAAATAAATAGGTCTCATCATTTGTTTTTTGACATGCTACTATTTAATATTTGTAACAGCTAAAGGAATAGTTTAATTATTTTAGTTCTCATTCAAAAAAAATAAAAAAAAGATGAATGAAAAAACTTGGCAGAAATGAGTTAAGCATAACAAAAGGATGTTTTATTATCCTACTGAACGTACTGTTAACACACAGTGATGTAATTGTTGTATAATAAAATATATTTATATTTGACTCTGACCTGGAGTGCATGAGATATTTAATATCATGTACATGGCCTTCAAAACTGTTAAACATTTTTAACTGTTAAACATTTGTAACAAAATATTTTATTTATTTTACTTTTATTTAACCAGGATAGCCTCTCCGAGATTAAAAATCTCTTTCACAGGAGTCTCCTGGACAAAATGAGCAGCAATACAATCGGTTTCATCACAAATTTACAAAACAAAAACAAACTAAGAACACTTAAAACAATTACCCATCACTGAATCATCTTCCAATTGCCAAATAACTCTTTTAAAATGTTTATAATCGTATAATGTGTATCAAAACTATAATGTATCAAAACTAAGTGCCATCTGCACTCAAATGCTGCTCAAAGTCTCTGAATCAGCTGGTGTTTTGGTGATTTTCAGTGGATGTATGAAGGTGTCTTTGCATAGAAAGCACATGTGTATTTCATCACATTAACGATCAACATGCTCCACTTACCACAAACAAACAGTCACACAATACTGGATTGTCTTCATCTTCACAATTATATCTACTGTTGTATCATTTAAAACAATATTTCTTTGAAATAATTGACACTTGCTTTGATATTCTGCATCAATGCCATGGCATTCAAACATTTTAAAGGCGTTGCTAAAGTTTTCAAATGCTATCGAACTGCTATCCATATTTGACATTAAAGGGGTCATATGATGTTGCTAAAAAGAACATTATTTTGTGTATTTGGTGTAATGAAATGTGTTTATGCGGTTTAAAGTTAAAAAAACATTATTTTCCACATACTGTACATTATTGTTTCTCCTCTATCCCTCGCCTTTTTGAAACGCGTCGATTTTTACAAAGCTCATCGGTCTGAAAAGCGAGGTATGCTGTGATTGGCCAGCTATCCAGTGCGTTGTGATTGGCC